TGGCTTCCAACGCCCACTTGCCACCAAGAGTTTCTCTCCATTGGGAGGGTCCTCTATTATAATGAAGACATTTGGCAAAACAGCAATTACCAGAGTACTGTTGCAACTCTTGTAGCAAGACCAAAGGGTCCCACTATATGTGCACTCTTCATTACTTTTCAAAAATAAAACTCTCAATATTTAATACATGTGTAGATTTTATGCATGACAGTTGATGTCAAAAAAAGGGAAAATTTCCAACAAGAAGACAAGAAAACATTTCACTTAGAGAAATTATGCTATGTAATTTGAGCTTTTTTAATTATATTATTGATACGAATGACTCAAGTAATAAAGATAATTAGAGCTAATTAAGCAACTGGGGACTGTGCAATAGGAATTAAACATAAAAAAAAACATAGTTTCATAACTGTCACCGCATCAAGATTAATGTCCGAACACAAATATATGAAATGTGCGGATGAGAAAATTGGTTTCCTGATTTGTGGAAGAAAAGCAAGATAAATATTAAGAAACCTTTCTGAGAAAAGTACTGAAGCTGGGAAACTGAAAAGGGACTTTTATTGGAATAGTCTTTCTTTGCCTTCATAATTAGTTTAGAGAATGCATCTTATAAAATATGAGGCAGAAGTCAAAAGCACTGAAAAGAAAAATGAAAAACTGGTGGGATTGTAATAGTGATAACTAAGAATATATGAAAGAAATACAACAGATGACGAAAGTGGAAGAGAATGCAGCACTGGGACGCCTTCATGTTAGTCTAATTAGGTACCACCCGACCATCTCGTCATGTTACTTTTGGTTGAAAGACACAGGATAGAGATAAGGATAACTTCTATATATGTAACATTCAAGTATCATCATGCTATGAATTTTTTCAAGATTCATCCTTCAACTTGTCTAGTTTCCCATCCTTACACTCCACTAACTAATAACTATGCTGTCATAACTCTGCGAATTGGGTACTGTCGAAAGCGATAAAACGGTTTTCCTTTTTCCGGTGGAAAATGCAAACAAGGACAAACTAAGGATATATCAATTTAGCTTCTCTCCGCTGGGAAGGAAACAAAAACAGAGTTCAGAAGTAAAATTCAGAATTTATAAACATGAATATGATCCACTTATTAGATTATCAAAAGGGTGAAGAGTAATTCTTTATCTTTTATTCTTAGATTTTTTTTCTTCTTCTCATTTTTAAATGTAGTTTTTAAAATGAAATGTGGTTGATAAAAGAACTTAAACCTATTTATATATTGAGGGGCAATTATGTATAAATATAATGATTATTGAACATACAGGAAAGTGATAATCTCTCTAATTTCTTTTTGAAGGTTAAAATAAAAAGAATATTGAAGTTTCTTCTTTGAACGGTTTGACTCTTCATTTCTTGTCTCTTTAAAATCTTGAACTTTTCTTTAACTCTTCATCACTTATCTCTCTGTTGCTCCGAACTCTCTGGATCACTGAAACCACTATAACGACGAATAGGTATGTTTAATCGTTTCCTAGAAAGCTCGTGAATTGTACGTATATGAAATTCTGAAAATATATATGATGAAAGTTTTTCCATCTTTTTAGCCACACTAGTTGTTTTGGTGAGGGTACGTGTTAAAGTGATGAAACCTGTGGTGAGTGGGGTCGTTTTGGAAGTGTTGTTGCCTGTATCAGGACTGTGAGAATTGAGACTTAACCATTTAGGCAAGTTTGAATTGGAATTCAGAAATTATGGTACTAATACTTGGAAAGATGGTGTCATGATCTAATTATTAGTTTTCAGGAAAAGAAAAAAGATAACATTTAATGGATAAGTTTATGAATAAATTTGATTTTTTTTTAAGGACTGTTTGGTTTAATGATTTTTGTAAGATTCTGGGATCAATACAGAAGATAAGTCGATGAACAAGTGCTAGTGAAAGCAAACGTTGAATTCTTTGAAGAAGTTTAGTTATTTTCTTATAACATAAAATAATATTTATTGTTATTATTATTAATTTATCGAAATGATTTTTTAAATAAAAATTTTTAAAAAGTGTAATATTTATTTTTTTATAATATTGTATATTTACTTACTATATATATATATTTACTACTTTTATAATTATTTTTTTAAGTATAATCTATCACATTAATTGTATATTTTATCTTAAAAAGTTGTGCTACTTTATCTGTTATCTGTTTATATTTTAGTATCAAATAATATAATATTATTGATTTAATAGTTTTTTTATGTTGATATAAATATTGAGAAATACAATAAGACTTCTGTAATCAATAATTACCTAATACTATAATTGAAGAGTTTATGAATCATGAAAAATATTGTTATTGAATGTAATGATTTTTAGTAGAAGAAGATTTATTTTAACAAAAAATAAGTATAAATGCTCTTAAGAGAAAAAAATAAAATTATGTTTGATGTTAAAAAAATAAATAAATGAAAAAACGAGTTTAAATTTATATTAAATTTTTCTCGCTTGCTTGAGGAAAATATGCTGGAGCGTCTCACCCTTTCATGATAAAACTTGATGATCCATTCAATATATTAAGTCTTAAATATAATGTTTTAAATTTGAATACTGTGAATACAAATTTGTATTTAAATAATCTCATCTGAATTAAAGTTAAAACCTAATAGTACGTTAGATAATAAATTTTTAAAGGTGGTTATTTTTATAAAAAATTTGAAATGTTTTATAATAAAATGATTTTTTAAGGATTTTAAAAAATTGAAATTTTTAAAATTTATAAATCTATGAAATAATTTGATTATTAAAATAAAATAAAAAACTCAAATTATCCAATTATAGTTAATTTTAAATCGACATTATTAAAGTTTTTATTAGTTTGTCCATATAAATATTATTTTTTAAAATTGAAATTAGTTAATTTTTTTTATCAATATTAACCATACTTTTTGTTTATGTCAAACATATACTTTTTCTATTATCTCAAATGAGTTTATTTTTAAGTTAATCTTTTAATTATTAAATACTATTTAATGGTAATATAATTATTTTTATTTAAAATTCTTTATTACAAAAATAAAAATAAATTTAAATTATTTTATCCAAATAAAACATTTAAAAAATAAAAATCAATTTCTATATATACTTGTTTTTTTTTAATCTTTATCGAATAGAACTCTAATTACAGAGACAAGAAAAATCACTTAATATTCGCACAAGTATTAAATTTAAGCCTTGAATAGTTTATTAAAACAAATTGATGTTTAAATTGTAAAACAAAGACGAAAAGATTATCCAAAATCTGATTCAGTCGGTACAGATAAATTTTGCCACGATTCTCAAGAGACAGATATGGTTAGTAAACCATGTTTTGCGTTTGATTAATGAGTAATACTGGTTAAAAAATCAATAAAAATGGTGTGCGAATCGGTTGACTTGGTCAAATATTATATTGCGTTTCTTAGTTAAATACTATTTACTTGACCGGTGAAAGATATCGATATCTGATTTGATCCGATGGAAGAATTAGCACAAATCTTTTTCAATTCGTACCGAATGACATGTTACACCATAAATAATTAATTACATCACATATGCATAAATAATGAATAAAAGATAAAACACTTATAAATGTTTTAAAATAATGTAGATCAATTGCATCTGCTATTTTCAAATTATAGGAAAAACGAAAGATAGTTCTTAAAGTTTTTTCAATAATACAATGTTCATCAAATAATCCTCTTTTATATTCATGTGAATCAATTCATACACCATTTGAATATACTTATCACGTGGTATTTAATACCAATTAATCATATTGTAATATATTTTAAGAGACAAATAATATTAGTTGTTGTTTAAATCAATAACTTATAACAGTTAATGGGTATAGGGAGATAAAGGGATTATTTTTCTTAAAAGTTTTCTAATTCATATATAATTTTAGTTTCTCACATTTTTATTTTCTTTTTATTTATTAATGATATATTATTTATCAATATGTCACTGTATATATTAATAATATAATTATTAAATACATTCAAATAATTAAACTGAATGAATATTCACCTTATTATAATACATTTGGATTAATATTTATAAAAGAAAATTCTCAAATTATTAATCCATTGTGCATGAAAAAAATTATTAAATTCCCTCACTAATGAAATTGAATGTTCAAATACGATTGCTATATATTGTTAAAAATATTTTATTTTCATTATAAAGTCTAATTGAATATTCATAAAAATATTGTTTAATTAAAAAAATACAATTATGATTACAACTGCGGAGACTACGTACTTTTATTGTGTATATATATATATATATATATATATATATATATATATATATATATATATATATATATATATATAAGTAATAAAGAATACAAATCAATTATCATCTACTGTTGTGTACTTTTTTTAGTTATAGAAATTGAACACAATACTAAGTGAACTTTAATAATTTACATACTACGTAATTAATTAATTATGCAAAATATATATTAAGAAAAATTTAATTCGAAATTTATAGAAGATAAAAGAAAAAAATCTGTAAAAAGATAAAATTAATTAATATACAACTTAAATTGAGGAAATTGTTTAATATAATTTAAGTAAAATATTATCTTAAACTTGCATAAATTCATTTTAATGTATAGAGAAATGAATATAATTTTTGTCTTTGATAAGCTTGGCCAAAAAAACCCCTAAATCTTACATATTAAGTCAGAAAAAAATGGTTGCCATAAGTGGAACTTTGTTCCACCATGGCACCGTGTACTGCACCTTGTTTGATGATGTCAAAGGACGATGTACATGTCATTCACATTGTCGGACTCATGTCTCTTAGTTCTTGCCCTTATAAATACAGAACCCTATACTAGACCATTATTTTCACCGCACCCCTCCTTAAGTTTTTTCCCATGCTCAAAAATCCTTCATCACTCAGTCTCACACTCACTCGTGTTTCGGTTCTTAGGTAGTTTTGCTTACCCACACTAATTTCGTAGGTGCTTTGTATTGAACCAACATGCTGTCTAGAAAGGCTAGTGAGGACTCTCACGGCCAAGACTCTTACTACTTTTTAGGGTGGCAAGAGTACGAGAAGAATCCTTACCACCTCATTCGAAACCCAACTGGAATCATTCAGATGGGACTTGCAGAGAATCAGGTTAAGTTCGCTCATTAACTTTCTATGTACCATTTTCATTCATTCATTAGGTTCCTTCCTATACTAACAACTATTACGTACTGTTATTATGTCTACCTTCTCACTGATAATTATCTGTTAAATATATGATCAAAACTTCCATTATCAAATATATCATGGTCACTGATTTTTGGATAAAAAATATTTTGAGTTATATATATATAAAAATGTACCTAGAATAAAGAAAGTAAAGAAGAAGTCCCTTAGGGTGACACGAGAATGTTTTAAGCTTTTATTTACAAGCATGCTTGACCAGTTGACCTACCAAAAGGGGTTTGGGATCTGTCAAGACAATGTTTTCTAAGTGCGGTGCACATGTAAATTTCCTTGCTGTGCGCTATATTGCGGCTATTAATATATATTAATAATTAAGATAAATGATTATTTTATATTATTCAATTATTAACTTAAATAATAAAATTTGTTGTTATCAAGATTTAAAAGATTAAAGAGTACGTTCCAATTTTCTTGAGTTTTGAGAATAAAAACAATTATAATTTTTTTATTATTTTTAAGTTGAATTAATGAGTAATAAGATAAATAAATTGAGAAAGAGATATATTACCTTTTATATAATAGTATGAACTATAATTTTTTATGAATTAAATATTTTTATTATTTATTCAATGATCCGAATATTCGAATATTTGAGTATTTTGAGTGACCTAAAATATTTGTTTGAATATCTCCAATATTTATGTAGTACTTTATTTGGAGGTATTTGAAGTCAATGTAAAAAATTAAAATAAATTTTATCTATTTATATTTAATATGTATATATTTTTTTCTCATTCTTTATCTATAACAAATTTGCGGACATATTTTAATATGCAGCTTTCATTTGACCTTCTTAAATCATGGCTTCGAAGAAATCCTGATATAGTGGGGATGAAGAAAGATGGGGTATCCGTATTTAAAGAACTTGCTCTGTTCCAAGATTATCATGGATTACCTGCTTTAAAAAATGTAAGACGTGCTTACCCAGGCTTAATGATTAAAAAAAAAAAAAACCACTAGTGTGAATAATTAGCTTTTCGTGGTTATGTGATGCTGACAATAAGTTGAGGATTAATACTAAACTAGACACTAGTTTTTTTGTTAATGACGAAATGGAGTGATCATTTTTTTCCTTTGTAATTAACTTTTGAGGTATATTTTTAATATACGTGTATAAAGAAAACTAAATTATAGCCAGAAATAAAAAAATATATAAATATAAAGAATAGTATTTATTATGTTATCTTTAAAATAATAGAATTACAATTATTGGTTCGCTTTAGTGTTATTTTCAGCCATTCAAACATCTAATTAAGACTTAACGTTTACTTAAACAGAATAAAGAATATGTAGCTTTTTGCCATAATGACAATAGCCAAACTTAAACCAAAATAAAGAGTATATCTATTATTATTTCAACTCTATCGGCTCAGAATAGAGCTACATAATATGAGAAACTATTTTTTTTTTAACTTAATGCCACATTAATTTTAATCTATTTCATGTTTTCAAAAGTTTTTAAATTATAAGAACAGTACAACAACAATAATAATAATAATAACTTGTTTTTTTTTAAATGGTGAGACATTTTTAAAATAAAAAAGTTTTTATCTTTTTTTTGTAATTTAAACGTCCCTGATATTTTCCAGCTGAAAACAAATATTATACTGTTCCAACAATTATATTGGAACATGTATAGAGATGCACACCATTCTAGTTCTTTTACGTTTCAATTTTTTTATAATTACACTTTTGTTTTTGTTCATCGTATTATTATTTTATCTCAATTTTCTTCCTATCTCTCTCCTTCCGAGTGTTGTTAAGGTGTTACTCGTTTTTTTACGTTTCAATTTCTTTATGATTACACTTTATCTCAATACGAATGATATTTTCTCAAATGGTTCAAGAAAACATAACGAATGAAAACAACATGATTGTGTTGCTATCGTTGTTTGTACTTAAAGTGAACTAAGAAAAAACATTATTCAACTAAAAAGAGAGATAAAACCCACTTACAACGTCATAAGTATTTATGGTGTTATTCTTCCATTAAAATGAATCTTTACCTTAGTAACTCAATGTGATGAATTTTTATTATGCAAATTGTTGAAATTCCAATTTCAAAATAAACATAATATAAAAAATTTACAATAAAATATTATTTGCATCTATTTTTTTTAATAGGGGCATATACAAATGCACCATTCTTTCTATTTTTACATTTCATGGGTGTTCACACGTTAACGTGTCAATTTGATTAGGTAGTACATGAAGACTTTTCTCTTGTCGAACATAATATGTTTGTGTTGCTATCATTGTTTGTCCTATATTTTGTAGTAAGCCTAGCAAAGTTGAACTTTCAACTGAATAGATAAATAAAACTCAGCTACAATCCTATAGGTATTTTCAGTGTTATTATTTCACTAAATTTAAATATTTATCTTGGCAACTTTTTGTTGATTTTTATTATGAATATGATTAAAATAAACTATTTTAAACCGAAAAAAAAAACATATTTTTGTATCTAAGTTTTTTCTTTTTTAGCTATTATTTTCTAATCTTTCTCCTTCCAAAGGATGTAGTGTTGTTAGGGTGTTCAATGATAGTTTTCTGAAATGACATATGAAGACTTTTCTCTCGTCCAATTAACATGTTTACGTAGCTATCGTCGTTAGTACTTGATCATGAAGTCATCAGCTATGGTGTAAGAAAATCATTCAATAACTACTCTAGAGATATTCTTTATTAAAAATAAAATTTTATCTCAGTACCTCGCGTTGATTTTTTATTACGTAGATTATTAAAAAATATATTTAAATTTTGATTGAAAATAAATATATTGATAACACGTGTAGATTTAAAATAAATATAAAAGAGTGTGCGTTTTTAGATTAGTACAGTTTATATTTGAATTTATAAGATACGAGTTTAGTTTCTAAACTGTGTTTTTTTTCCTTGAAGGAACTGGTGGAATTTATGTCGAAAATAAGAGGAAATGGAGTAAAATTTGCTCCAGAGAAGCTCGTCCTAACAGCTGGTGCCACTCATGCTAATGAAATTATGATGTTTTGCCTTGCTGATCCAGGAGAGGCTTTCATTCTGCCCACACCCTATTATCCTGGGTATGACTTTTTTTTTCAATAGATACATTTAGTGTGAGCTAAAAAAAAGTGTAAAATAGTTTTATATTTTTATTTAATTATAAATCATAGTTGATATATTTTACTTTATATTCCAAATGAGAATTTTTTTATAAAGTTTTTTTTTAGAAAAATAAAATATTTTATGAAGAAATATATTATTTGGATAAAAATTTAAAAATTACAATTTAATAAACTATTTAACTATTTTCATTATTTAAGATGGTCGATTTTTTTAATTTTTGATTTTTTTTATACTTTATAACTCTTTTTAGACGAACAATAGGCTATAATTCAATTGATTAAATACAAAAATATAAAAATCTTCCATAACTATTCATTACATGTTAGCATGCAATGCAATCTTGTCATTTTGACTTATTTTGACAGGTTTGATAGAGATCTGAAATGGAGAACTGGGGTTGAGATTGTCCCAATGCATTGCTCAAGTTCAAATGGTTTCAGAATCACTTCCTCTTCTTTAGAAGAAGCCTATCAGAAAGCACAAAAATTGAATCTCAAAGTCAAAGGGGTCTTTGTAACTAACCCCTCGAATCCACTAGGCATAACCATGACCAAAACGGAACTTTACCACCTAATCGATTTCGCAATTGAGAAGAACATTCACATAATCAGCGATGAAATCTACTCGGGCACGGTTTTCAACTCGCCTAAATTCGTGAGCATCATGGAAGTTGCGAACGAGAGAACTAGTAACATGAACAACGTTCGGAATCGCATTCACATAGTATATAGTCTCTCCAAAGACCTTGGAGTACCAGGATTTCGGGTGGGAATGATTTACTCAAACAACGAAATGCTGGTGGGTGCTGCAACAAAAATGTCAAGCTTTGGATTGGTTTCCTCACAGACTCAATATTTGGTGGCCAACTTACTGAAGGACAAGAAGTTCACTTCCAAGTACATTGAAGAGAATCAAAGGAGACTTAAGAGGCGCAAGGAGATGCTAAAGTCTGGCCTCAGAAACGCAGGGATTCGGTGTTTGAAAAGCAATGCAGGGTTGTTCTGTTGGGTGGACATGAGACATTTATTAAGCTCTGCCACTTTTGAAGCAGAGAAGGAGCTTTGGATGATGATTCTTTGCCATGTTGGGTTGAACATATCTCCTGGCTCTTCTTGCCACTGCTATGAACCTGGCTGGTTCAGGGTATGCTTTGCCAACATGTCCGAAGACACATTAAAACTCGCCATGCGCCGAATGAAGGCTTTTATAGACTCAACCGTCTCTGTTGTCAACCAGGGTAAAGGTTGTACTTATGAGCAATCTGTGAATGCCATAAGAGGTTTCAATTGCTAAGTGGGTCAACTGACATGCTTCATGTAATCTTCAATTCTGTCCAATTTAATTTCCCAAGCACTGAGCATATTCAAATTATATTATAAGGGTGATGAATAATGATTTCCTATAATATATACAGCAAGAAATCCTCTCTTAGTCACTCTTCACTATGATCTCTTAAATATCTATAAATTTACGATTGTGTTATTACATCGAGTTCTCGTGACTCATGTATTTTCTTAAACATGGATTATTGGAAGGTGTTAGGATAACATTTGTTTTACTATATAATGTTACATTCTCATAAAATCATATTAATAACATATGTTAGGATAATATTTAGTAATTAAAAAAATTATTAATTTTAAAAATATATTATAAATAGAAATGCAGAGAGAGTATTCCTTTTTTATATCTAACATTTCTTAGTTTATTACAAGTAAAAAAAATCTATAATAATTATTTATTAACATAAACGTCAACAAGGATATAATTACTTTCTTACAAGACAAATCATTCGTGCTGACGTGAGAATTAAGATCATGGCAAATGCATGGAATTAGACAAATCATTGGTGACCATTCTGACATAGGGGATTGGCCACGTGGAGAATCCGTTACTCACGCATTTCGTGTGTTGGCGGTTTCCAACGAGGAGAGATAGAGCGACGCAATAACACGATTTTGAAGCGATTCCACGTTTAATTATGGGAAAAATAATTTTGACAAAGTTATCAAATATTCCATCTACAATCGATTTTAATATTATAATAATAATTTTAAATTATTTCTATTAAATTTGTATATTAATAAAAGGAGTTGTTATTATAATTATTTTTTAAAAGGTTGAGAATACATCGCCTCATGACTATCCACATTCTTCTATTCTCAACTTTTAAGAGCATTAATTAAAAAAAAAAACAAAAAAACAAAAATGTTAGGTTCCCTGTAACTGGTTTCTGCACAAAACCTTTCTGCGAAGGCGAAGCCCGTTCACATTCTTTTTTTTTGATATTGTGTTTTTTCCATCACTTTTCCTCCTAATTTCGCGCCCTTCACCAACAAATGGTTCGTTCCATGCAGGTATCTTCTTTCTCGAATATTTTCGTGCTTGTTATTCCCCTGTTTCACGTAACTACATTTGATCGATCAGTTATTTTGCACATGTTACTCTCAAGTTGTATGCATTAATCAACATTGAATAATAGTATAAATACATACTTGTGCCGCACAAATGATTTGTATTTTAAAGTGATGATATGCATGTTGATTTCCTAACTGTTGCCAACTATGTGCATACACATCAATCTCTTCCATTTCAACTATAGTTTTCAGGCTTCTCTGTTATGCACTTTTGTGTGCACTCTCTTGACTCGAGGTGAAATTCATTGCGTTTGATTTATATGGTGTTGTGGTTATGAATCATGACTCCAAAAACAATGTTAGTCTGTTTGATCATACATCTATGAAATATCATTTGTACTATTTAGTGTTTGTTTGAATCTGTTCAGTTGAACTTAATGCCAATCTATCCTTCCCCTTCCTTCTATGTTTGTGCATTGGAATGTCAGAAATCTCGCTTTGGAAGGATGCAATGGATGTCCCAACACAACCTTCGTGATTTACTGCACAAGTTTTTTTTTCATCCCTTCTTTTTATTTTCAGGTTTCCTCATCCTACCTTTTAGTTGCTTACACTGCCAGCTTTAACTACAATTTGATGAAAACCAAGTATAATAGTTTCAATATCATATTGGTGAAATATGTAGTATCTCTGGTATTCGTTAGTAAATTGATTGAGGATATTAATTACGATGAAACCTTAATCATACTTATTGCCATGTGACTTTGCATTTAAACTTCACTTCTCTTGATTGGTCTTGGTGTGTGTAACTTTCAGATGAATGATCATTCTTTTCATTTTAAAATTCTTTGCTTCTCAGTATTTTTCCGTATTGTTTTTAAGGTAAAATTTACACAGGTTAAGGTGCAACCTAACCAAATAATTAAATGAAAGAATATTTTTATGGTGCATTCCTAAACTTGTCCAAAGAAATCCATATTTACTGGACCATTGACGCAATAACACGTTTTTGGAGCGATTCCACGTTTAACTATGGAAAAAATTATTTTGACAATGGTTATCAAATATTCCATCTACAATCGTTTTTAATATTATAATAATAATTTTAAATTATTTTCATTAAATTTTAATATTAATAAAAGGAGTTGTTTTTAGAATTGTTTTTTTAAAAGGATTATGAATATATTACCTCTTGACTATCCAAATTCTTCTATTCTCAACTTTTAAGAGCATTAATTAAAAAGAAGAAAACAAAACAAAAACTGTTAGGGTTCCCTTTAACCGGTTTCTGCACAAAACCTTTTGGTGAAGGCGAAGCCCGTTCACGTTCTGTTTTCTTCCACATTGTGTTTTTTTCCACCACTTTTCCTCCTAATTCCACGCCCTTCACCAACAAATTGTTCGTTCCATGCAGGTATCTTCTTTCTCGAATATTTTCGTGCTTGTTATTCCCCTGTTCACGTAACTACATTTGATCGATCAGTTATTTCGTATCATGTTACTCTCAAGTTGTATGCATTGATCAACATTGAATAATAGTATAAATACATACTTGTGCGGCACAAATGATTTGTATAAAGTGATGATATGCATGTTGATTTCCTAACTGTTGCCAACTATGTGCATACACACCAATCTCTTCCATTTCAACGATAGTTTTCAGGCTTCTCTGTTATGCACTTTTGTGTGCACTCTCTTGACTTGAGGTGAAATTCATTGAGTTTGATTTATATGGTGTTGTGGTTATGAATCATGACTCCAAAAACAATGTTAGTCTGTTTGGTCATACATCTATGAAATGTCATTTGTACTATTTAGTGTTTGTTTGAATCTGTTCAGTTGAACTTAATGCCAATCTATCCTTCCCCTTCCTTCTATGTTTGTGCATTGGAATGTCAGAAATCTCGCTTTGGAAGGATGCAATGGATGTCCCAACACAAGCTTAGTGATTTACTGCACAAGTTTTTTTTTTCATCCCTTCTTTTTATTTTCAGGTTTCCTCATCCTACCTTTTAGTTATGTACACTGCTAGCTTTAACTACAATTTGATGAAAACCAAGTATAATAGTTTCAATATCATATTGGTGAAATATATAGTATCTCTGGTATTCCTTGGTAAATTGATTGAGGATATTAATTACGATGAAAAGTTTATCATACTTATTGCCAGGTGGCTTTGCATTTAAACTTCACTTCTCTTGATTGGTCTTGGTGTGTGTGTAACTTTCAGATGAATGATCATTCTTTTCATTTTAAAATTATTTGCTTCTCAGTATTTTTCCGTATTGTTTTTAAGGTAAAATTTACACAGGTTAAGGTGCAACATAACCAAATAATTAAATGAAAGAATATTTTTATGGTGCATTCCTAAACTTGTCCAAAGAAATCCATATTTACTGGACCATTAATTAGAATATTATTCATTCAGGTGATGGATATGATTTGGATGTCTTATGTCTTTCTTCTTGGGTAATGAGATCTGTCGAGTTTGCCTCAGTAGGCAGAGATGGACATTGCTGCTCTTTTAACCTCTGCTGGAATTAACATCGCAGTGTGCGTGGTGCTCTTTTCACTCTATTCCATATTAAGAAAACAGCCCAGCAATGTCAATGTGTACTTTGGAAGAAGGTTAGCTTCTAGGCGTTCACAAAGCAATGATCTTTGTTTGGATAGATTTGTTCCCTCTCCTAAATGGGCAATGAGAGCATGGGAAATGACTCAAGAGGAAATGTTGACTATCGGTGGCTTGGATGCTGTGGTTTTTAGCAGGATGGTTGTGTTCAGGTTGCTCAATCATTTTAAAATTGAATATTTTCAAAGCTGCATGTCTTATACTACGGCAGACTATATGGTGAAATGCTTATACTATAGTTTTAATCTGAAATCCACCATGCCCATTTACAGAGTGAAGATATCTTAATCCTAGATAAATAGAAGTGAATAGATGGTATGTTGTTAAGTTCAATCATTATGATATTAGGCACTGGTTTTATGCACCACAAAACTCTTTGATCAATATTTATTAAAATACTGAACGCGCGCACAACATTTTTATGATTTATTTGTCTCTAAAATAAATGAAGATAAACAAATAGTACAATAGTAACTGGAAACAAGACTGGTGCTCACAGAAGAGATACTTCTGTTGACTATATATGATGCTTAATTGATATAGGTAAGCCAGTTTAAGTCATCAAGTTACCAAACTAGCTTCTTGGTAATGATAAACTCAAGTTTGCATTGGGCCCTTTATGGAGTTTTACCATTTTTTCTCATTTCAATATTATAAATGACAACCTATTCCATTTACTTGTCTGGGTTTAACGTGTTTGCTTTCTGCACAATTTTATGTTACTCAAATTAAAAGTAGCTGCTAATCACCCACTTAAAAGTGATAAGCTAGTTTAATTTTCTGTTCAGTTAGTTATAACTAATATGTAACTAATTTTCCAGGCTTGTACTATATAGCTACAATCACTCTGTACATTTATGTGCGGTTGAATACAATCATTTATTTCATAATTTGTCTTTTTCGATGGAGATATATACTGAGTGATGGTATCAGAACCCTGAACAAAGGCTCTGTCATCAAAGAGATCATTATCAATTTGTCTTTTTCGATGGAGATATATATTGAGTTATGGTATCAGAACCCTGAACAAGGGCTCTGTCATCAAAGAGATCATTATCAACATGGTTTGAAAAAATACGAGTGTAGGATTAAGAGCTATTGCCTTCGATTCAAGATTGAATCAATCAAGTCTGTATAATGTCTATTTGAGTAAATCAACCTCATCTCCACTTGTGAATTTGATCCTCGATGGCAGGAACTATCATTCCAGGACAAGGACGATGAACCGAGTCTTGATTTCGGAAGAATAAGTGGAAATTTGCAATTGGAATGATACCGATGCCAACTGAGTTCGATCTGAAGATTGAGAGCAATACAATAATCTTGTGCATGCATGGATTATTATCTTTTGTCTGAATACATTGGTCAAAGTATGTTGTACGTTGAATTTGCAGCCGATGTGTGGAATGAGATTTATGAATGTTTCTCACGGGAGATCTAGAACAAATTGTGAAGTTATAACAAGAGATCATTGTTTTCAAGCAAGGTACCACCTCTATGAATAATTATTACATTGAGATGAAAGTATTATGGGAAAACATGGATAATTACAGCCTTTACCTTCATGTACATGTTTTATGATGTACATTGAACTTGTAGCCTATGTGTGGAATGAGATTCATGGACGTTTCTCACTGGGAGATCTAGAACGAATTGTAAAATTATAAGAAGAGATCAATGTTTTCAAGCAAGGTACCACCTCTGTGACTAATTATTACACTGAGTGAAAGTATTATGGGAAAACATGGGTAATTTCAGGCCTTTACCTTCATGTACATGTTTTGTGAAGTGCAAATGTGAAGCAATTGGTGTGCCTAAAATCTATTGAACACAAGATTACATGATTCGATCTTCATGGGTTTGAATGAAAATTTAGAATGTTTAAGTCACAAATATTGTTAATAGAACCTCTGCCTAATATCAATAAGGTGTTTTCAATGGTAATATAACATGAAAGTCAACATGTACCAGTGGTTGTTAATAAATATTCAGATCCCTTGATTAATGTCACTAATGGGCGAAGGATTTTTGGTACAGGAAGATGATCATCACAATTTTCAAATTTGAAAGGAAAAGTGTGAACCTATTGTGAAAAATCAGTCATAATATTGAGACTTGCTATGGGAAACATGGTTTTCCATCATCTTTTTCATCAAATTTTAAGCCCAATGATATTGCTAATAACATGTTTGTTGAAATCCCAAACACAGATTTGGATGAGAAGTTTTTTGTTAAGGAGAACAAATCAGATGATAAAGTGGATCGTGGAGGATTTGCCAATTAGCAAATAGAAAACATAGTAACTATGACTCAACAAGTCACTCAACAGGATAGTGTTGTGGTCAATCAAGTCACTTCTGCCACCAGTCATAGTTATAATATATGAGATTGTTGTTCTCTCCTGCACCACTCAGCACATACACAACAACAATTGGGTTTTAGATTTAGGAACCACAAATCAATAAACCATTGTGACTCCCTTACATCCTAGCCCTCTTAGAAAATCCACTGGAGTCAATAAATCACCTTCCCATATGCTTGATTACTATTGCCTAACTATACAAGCCAATTGCTCCACGAGTAACCCCCTATCTGAACTCATTTCTCTTTCACCAAACTACAATCTCTTGATAAATCCTATGCCATGGCCTTGTCTTCTGAAATTGAATCCCGATACTACAAAGATGCTTGGATGACTAGTGGATTCAAGTCATGAATCATGAACTCAATGCTTTACACAAAGATTACACTCTAACAGATTGTGATTTGCCATCTGGGTTGGTCATAAATGGGTTTACAAATTCAAAAGACATGATGATGGGAGAATAGGCATATATAAGGCGGGGTTGGTTGCCGAAGGATGCAATCAGGTTGAAGTGGTTAATTTCTTTTTATACTTTCTCACTTTTATTAACATGTTTACCTATAGAATACTTGTCTTAGCATCTATTTATTGGCATTTATATCAGGTTGACGTGAATAATGTCATCTTACACATATGTTTATATGGAAATTCCTGTAGGTGGCATTGTTCTAAATCGAATTAGGCTTGTGAACTTGTTAAATCCCTATATGGATTCAAGCAAGCAAGTAGAAAATGATTTGAGAAACTAATTTCCACATTTGCTCGCTTCTGTTACACACCATCACATGCAGATCCTTCTTTGTTCCTTAAATTTACTGGTGTCTTATTCACAAAGTTAACAATCTATGTTGATGATGTTCTCTTGGGTGGCAATGATCAGGATGAGTTTGCTTTTGTGAAGAGTCATCTTCATTCCAAGTTTGGCATCAAAGATCTTGGAGATCTGAAGCTTTTATTGGGTTTGAAAATTGTCCGGTCTAGTTATGGTATCTCCTTGTGTCAGAGAAAGTACTATATGGAACTTCTCTTGGATATTGGGCTCATTGGTTGCAAACCTTACTTTACTCCCATGGATTCCATTACCAAATTAACCACAAGACAATTGTATCAAGAGATTGCTAGATATTGTAGGCTTATTGGTAGACTTTTCTACCTCACCACTACAAGACCTAACATTACATTTGTGGTGACTCAACTAAGCCAGTTCTTGGGTGCTCATCAACTTTGAGACAACTTTGAGAGTTGTCAAGTACTTGAAAAATGCCCGGTCATGGATTATTCTTCTCAACATCTTCTGCTTTTACCTTACGGGGATGCATTGATGTTGACAGGGGAAGTTGTTACTTCCATCTCTGATCATTGTTTCTTCATTGGCCATTCTTTGATTTGTTTGCTTTCTAAGAAACAAACCATAGCGTCGATATTATTTTCTGAGGCAAAACATTGTGTCCTTCGATTTGTAACTTGTCAACTTGGCATGGTGAACTATTCACCCCTTGCCAGTTTGTGAGAGGGTGATAAGCTAGTCTAATTTCCTTCTCAGGTAGTTATAACTAATTTGTAACTAATTTTCCTGTCATTGTTTGTATTATATAGCTACAACTTTGCTGTACTTTTTTTGTGGTAGAATACAATCATTTTTATCATTATTTGCTGTTGTTCATTGGAGATATATTTTGTAAAAAATCGTAAAAAATTAAGTTTAAATGAATTTTGTTGTCCATTTTTGTGGCTTTAGAGCTTTACTAACTGTTATATCAATTTTTCTCTTTCAGTATTCGAGTATTTTCTGTTGCTGCTGTCGTATGCACTGTTCTAGTGCTTCCAGTGAATTATTATGGTCGGGACAGAATACATAAGAATATACCTTTAGAATCACTGGAAGTATTTACCATTGAGAATGTTAAAGAAGGATCCCAGTGGTATGAACTAGTTAATTATATTCTAAATGGAAAATTTGAATATGTCAAATAGTCAATTATGTGTTGCAACTGATAAAACAATGAATAAACAACAGAAAACGAAAGCGATTTCTTCCCGCTTTATAGGAAGAATGAATAATGCTCTAAACACTGTTGGTCTAACATGGCTGTGATTTTGATATTTCTTCCTTTAATTTGAATTATACATTATCATTTTTTTTTAATAACTAATCAAGTCTCTCTCTGTTTTAGATTAAGTAAATTTAGTTTTGTTATTAAATTTCTTTTTATTTGTATTTAATTTTTCTATTCATAATCTTTCTTATAGAGTAGTTGACTAAATTGTTTTAAATCTTCTTTTGGTCAAAACTCTAACAAAAATGTTAAATCTTACTGAAAATAATAAAAATGTACAAAAATTTCACATCTTATATAATCTGTAAAATATTTATTTCTATATTTACATCATAAGTTTTCAAATATTGGATAGAAAATAATATAGAATTTTAGTAAAAGTAAAATTGACCATATAAATTTACTTAACCTTTAGTCTTTTAAGAGATAAATTTTTTATTGCCTCAAAATTTAAAACTGCACACACTCTATTAAAATTATTAAAAGTGAAATTGAATCTTATTTATTATTTAATTGGGAGAGCTTAACCTTTTCTCCAAACTGCAACTAGAATTGATTCTGGCTGGAGCCATTCTTAGTAATTTTTGTTTACTCTCATTTTAGATGTTAATGCGTGAATAGTTAATGATTTTAATCAGGACACTCCTACAAACCGGTTACTTATAGCTTGTTTTCATTCTTTTGCGTGATGTCAGGCTTTGGGCTCATTGTCTCGCGTTATACATCATAACTTTAACAGCTTGTTCTCTTCTTTACATTGTAAGGAGCTGCTCATATTAACCTGCAATATTAATTCCTCTATCTGTTTTCAGAGTGAACTCTGCTTTACTTTTCCAATTTTTTAATATGACTAATGAAGTGGAAATATTATCCAGGAATACAAGAGCATTACTAATTTGCGGCTAGTACATATTACTTCATCGCAGCCAAATCCTAGTCATTTTGCTATTCTTGTTCGAGGAATACCCTGGTCTTCGGAACAATCATACTGTGAAACAGTGAAAAAGTTTTTCACATTTTATCACGCATCAACATATTTGTCTCACCAAATAGTGTTTAAGTCTGGTGCAGTTCAGAAACTGAAGGTCGACCTCTTAACTTCTTTATATACTTTTATGTTAATTGTGTTTACAGTATCTATTTTAGTTTATGTCACACATAAATATTCTCATAACAGTCAATGATAGACAGAAATTTCACTATTTGGTTCTAGGTAAATTAACTCGTATGTGGTCTTACTATGGAAATAAGTTTCTGTTTTTCTTTAATTATATAATTCGTGGTTTGCTCTTTATTTGGTTATTTGGTGGAACGCTATTCCTGTACCTCCTTTTATTATTAATCTTCCAAACCCCAGGAACTTCATTTAGGCATTCTGATATACGCCTCATGTTGCATTTTGATGTCCTTTGTGAGATGACAAAAATATCATCACAGCCTTTGAATGCAATGGAATGCAGAATTAGCAAAGAATTTATGCACAAAATTATGAACAATAAGCAAAGAATTTAAGCTATTGGATTATGACTCATGAATGGTTTTATATTGAAGGTGCCACCCTCAAATAAAAGTCCTTCAAGTTTAAAGTGTGGATCTGCTTAAATTTTACTTTTGTTTAGAAGAATAGAAGCAGCAATTATGACCACGTGATCGTACAGTTTATGGCATTATATTAAGAACCAATCTCTAAAATGCTCAATCCGTGGCAAGCTTCAGCTCCTGAATGTTCATGATGGCATTTTTTGAATATCATTTTATCATATCAGTAGGATTTCTTAATATCTATGGCGTCTTTCCCTATTTAATGGGGGTAATCAGGCTTTCATTTATGATTGCATAAGTAGATGTGTGAAAAACCTCTCTAATTCTTTTGTGACCCTAGAGTTGTTGTATAGCACTTATGATCGTTAGAATCTTTCTAAAATAGTATAAACTTTTCAAGCATTCTTGTTTTTGTTGACGTTAATGTTGCATAAACTTTTGTTTATTTTAATCCTTTTCTGCTAGGATGATGCAGAATATATGTGTAAGATGCTCAGTTCTGGTTGTGCTTCAATGGAACAGACGTGTAAGCCAAGCTTTACGCAATGTTACTTTTGTGGAGGACCCACTAATTCTTTTAAGATTATTTCTAATGAAACTGATAGTATAAGTGGGAGAACAAGCTACTCTGACCTGCATTTAAATGCAAGAAAAAAGGTCAATTTTCTGGCTGGATTGATTTATATAATTACAATATTAATACGTGAACCCCTTTCATTTTTATGATTAGTGAACTACCGTGTTGAGAATTTTCTTTATCTGATATTGGTATGTGAACCCCTTGAATCTATTTGATTTTTTGTGATTCACTTAATTATTTTCTGTTCTGCAACACTGCCCAATTTAAACCTGGGAAACATGCTTAAACTATTTCTCTAGATGTTTGTCTAGGCCTCCAACATATGTATAATTACCTTTTGATGTGAATATAGAAAATCCAACTTTCTTATGTAACCTGCCGGAACAAACAATGAAAGCACCATGAAAGAAGCTGCACTCTTTTAAGTCTGTAGAACAAAATTCGTTCTTGGACCTGCTCCCCAACCATTTTAGCTGTTTAGAATGAATGGGTTCTTTATTTGCACGGTAATTAAGCTATTTCTTTTTAAATATTTAAGAGCCTGATCTTTCTTTGTCATCAAGTACTTGGGGCCCTAGCTTGAGGGGGCCGTGAGAGAAAAAATCATTCAAGTTCTTTAATCTAACAATTTGAGTTATGAGGAGGATTGGTTTGGACAAGGATACAGTAGGGTGCGATTAGCTGACAGTTCTTTGGGGTCATTCTTAGAATATCAATGTGTATTAGATCGACAGATTTGCATCCAAACTAAGAAATTCAAGAAAGTAACAAGTGGTGAAAAAAATATTCAATTTATCGTAAGATTCAGCATATATTTTGCACTGGTTTTTTACTTTGTTCAAGCTTATTTTATGGCTTTGACTATATCTCTACTTTCTGTGTCGACATATCTGGTGATCGGATAGGTTAAATACTTGTGTACTACTTGTGTAATAAGCCACAACTGAAGCAGTCATTACTGGGATATTTGTTTCGCCACTCTAATAAGTACATATAGAATCGCTCTGCTTTGGTCCTAGAATCAAATCTTATGTCATGTTACAAATTTGTGTTCATTTAATAAACAAAATATGCACATGTTTTCGACTCTAATACAGGAATGTGCTGCTGCTTTCGTGTTCTTTAAAAGTCGGTATGCTGCTCTTACGGTTGCTCAAAGTCTTCAAACATCAAATCCTATGTTATGGGTCACAGACCTAGCTCCGGAACCACAGGATGTTTACTGGCCCAACCTTTGCATACCATACAAGCAACTTTGGATTCGTAAAATAACTACATTTGCGGCTTCTGCCACCTTCGTCTTTGTATTCCTTATCCCTGTTACATTCGCACAAGGCTTGACTCAACTGGACAAGCTTGAGAAAATGTTCCCTTTTTTGGCAGGGATGCTTCAAAAGTAAGATATGCCACTTACACATCGGATAACCTTTTCCCAAAATTTATGGATTAGAATTTTTTAAAGTAATTATGCATGATATGTTAAATGTGGAACTTCATTTAACAAACCCTTCCTCTGATCAACAAAGGTGCATTATATAAGAATCCATATACGATTGTAGACCTATCACAAATTTTATTTTGCTCATTTCAAGATTGCTGAACTTATTATATGCTTTATAACTCTACGAATTACTGTGTGAAGCCCATAAATAGATGATATCGAAGAATTTGTCCAAGCTAAGTAGATCATCAAAAATAGCTTTCAAGAAGAAATGCAAAACTGTAATTCTTGATAAAAATGTTTCTACTATTTAGAATGGTCAATTCAACTGTTAAGTATGTTAAGAGTGTTTAACAACTAACCCACTTAAGTATTTTATAGTCTAATGTAAAGTAGAAACATTTTCACGAAGAATTCATTCTTTGTAATTTCCCTTAGATTTCATCTGTCATTGTATTAAGCTTGTTAGTTATTACCATCTGCTCTGTCTATTTGCAGACCTGGTATGTGTATTCGAATACTAGTTGAAGTTGTTTTTTTTTAGTCCTACATCTCCTAATTTCAGTTTATAACTTTAAACGTACGTACTTTTTTTTTTCTGATAAAAGAATAATTCATTAAGTCAAAAGAAAAAATTTACAAAGAGATGGGTGGATGGATGAAGGATACTCCCTCCTTGGCATAGAAACAAAACATGAAATAACAAAGGAAAAAGAGAAAATTAACACAGCAAAGCTACCCAATCCGTCCCCATATCAGGTTCGGAAATCTCATTCAAAGACACAATTTGTTTACAAACTAAAGCGAAGTATATAATCTTGTTCAAAACAACATAGTGTATATATATATATATATATATATATATATATATATATATATATATATATATAAATATATCATCTGAAATACAAGTTTTACACATAATGAATGGTAAAAACTTTGTTTTTCTGTATGTCGCATTTTCATGTAAAATGGAGATTGTTATAAATTGTACGTGATGATTATTGTGCATGGTCTGTGGAAGGTTAGCTTGGTAATTTTAAATCTTAATGCGTTTTACAAATTATTGTAAATTGAGACAGAATTTTTTTTCTTCAGGAAATTTGTGATTCAGTTGGTGACTGGTTACTTGCCAAGTGTGATTTTGGTTTTATTTTTATATACTGTTCCACCAGTGGTGATGCTATTTTCAACAGTGGAGGGATGTATTTCTCGTAGTGGAAGGAAGAAAAGTGCATGCTCCAAAGTTTTGTACTTCACAATTTGGAATGTGTTTTTTGTTAATGTTTTTGCTGGGTCTGTTATCAGCCAACTCGCAGTCTTTAGTAGTCTAACAGAATTACCTGCTCAACTTGCCAGGGCTGTTCCAGCGCAGGTGATATGCCTCTATTTATACATGGCAAATGCTTATTAAAAACTACGTATCCTTGTCATCAAATATTTGAGCATCAATAAATTACATAAAATTACATGTCTTCCATGATTAATTGTTCACTTTAATGTGTCTTTTTCATGGCATACAGGCTACCTACTTCACAACATATGTTTTATCATCTGGTTGGGCAAGTTTGGCATTTGAAATTATGCAATTCCTTCCTCTTTTCTGCAATCTTTTCCAAAGATTCATACTCGGCTATGATGAGGATGCAATGAATAGTAGCTATACTTTTCCATACCATACAGAAGTTCCAAGGATCTTACTGTTTGGGTTCCTTGGGTTCACCTGTTCTATTCTGGCACCACTAATATTGCCCTTCTTATTGTTTTACTTTGTACTTGCGTACCTCGTTTACCGAAACCAGGTTAGTACTTCTTTCCTGTTATAGTCCTCCTAATGTTATTCTTCGTGAAGTTAAATTGTGCTAATTCTTTTATATATATATATATATATGTGCAAAAGCATTTACCTTATATGGGTATTTTATATTTATTTTACACTGTTTTATTAATGACATTGAAAACTAAGAACCCATTTCCAACTTAACATTTTCACGTGGTGACAATTTCCAAGCAAATTTATGCAATTAACTATTATGGGATAATACAATTTCCTCCTAATGGTTTACTGTGCATGGCATTTTCTTCACTTTCGTTGTCAAAAATTTTAGTCTACCTTCTATGTTATCATGACATGGAATGAACTTTTAATGTTTTCTAGTAAATTTTTATAATGATAGAAAAAAGGTTCGACTTAACACTAGCATTTTCAGATGCTGAATGTATATATTAAAAAATATGATAGCGGGGGACAGTTGTGGCCTATAGCTCACAACACAGCTGTCCTTTCATTGCTCGTCGCTCAAGTTATTGCACTTGGGGTGTTTGGACTAAAAGAGTCACCAGTTGCATCAGGATTTACCATTCCACTGCTGATTTGCACAGTTCTATTTCACCAATATTGTAGGCAGCGATTTCTGCCAGTATTTAAGAACAATGCAACACAGGTTCTGTCACTTAATTACCCTTACAATTCCTCCCCCGATCTATTCCTCTCTAAAACTACTTGTTTGTTTTAGGTTCTTATTGACATGGATCGGAGAGATGAGCGTTGTGGGACAATGGACCAGATTTATGAACAAGTGAATGCAGCGTACTGCCAGTTTTCTAGTTCTACTCAATCCGAATGTTTCGGCAGTCAAGGGGAGGGAGAACTTGTTCGAACACCAAAAGATTTGGAGACAGGTTTGCTTCCATATCCGATGGGGAATTCCACTTTCTATCTGGAATTAAGGAGATATGATATCGTATGATAATTTGGTTATTTATTTTTATTTGTAGTTTTCAGGCAATAAAATTGGCCAACAAGATGATATCATTGCCACCGATACTTGGCGGAAGTAATTTAGGTTTTAGACCTACACATGTTGTGAGAATCGTCGTGTCGTGTCTCCAAAAATGGAAAGTCATGCATGAGCAATTTTGATAAAGATAAAATCTCCAATTACATGCGTAGAAAATAGGAATTAGATTGGTTCCAGAAAGTTCCGTTGTGCGATCGAGTGGAGATATATTGATCTGGACAATGCTATTTTAGCCTATTTTGTATGTAATTGTAAATATGCATTATAAGAGAGATCAACGAGGATCTCACCTCCCCATTTCCAACGTAATTAAGTTTTCATGATAATCCAGTAAACTTTAGGAAAAGGTTATACTTTGTATGGAACCACGACCAACTTATCATGGTATTTGATTGTAAACAGGCGTGTTAAGAAAACTGAATTCAACTAAAAAAATAGTTCATTAAACTAAACTATATTAAAAAAACAGCTATTTTAAAAAAAAAACTATTTAAACTATCATTCACTTCAATTTGAAAGACTGAACCACTAAAAAATTAGTTCATTGCATAACTTAAATAAGATTAAAAAAAATACTTAGATGGTAATCATTAATTTGTTTTAATATTAAGAATATCTCTAATAGATTAATAATTACATTGCATTACCAATAAAAATGGCAGCACCTCTTTTTCAGTGTGTAATAAGAATGCAATTCAAATAACTAAATTAGTTAGCATTTAAAGAAAAAAATACTTCAATTGAAAAATATAGAATTTAATTAATTAAACAAAAAAATAGTTCAATTTTCGAACTATCTTTTAGATTAATTTGAATATATTATCTCGGTTTTCTAAAATTTAGTTTAAATTATTTTTTTTGGCGTCTATTTTTTAAGAAAAGAATTATGTATTTTATAAGTATTAATGTTAAGTCTAGTTTCAATTAAAACAAGTAGCAACTATAATAATTATTGAGTATTAATTTTCAATCTAGTATCAGTATTAATTACCCTAAATTCTAAAGATTATAGAAAAGCGTGAATTTACACGGACCACCTGGGTTTATACACATGTTGCATGAATTTGAAACGCGGGATACATTTGCGCGGGAGTCCCTGAAAGTTAATGCAAATGATGAATTCGGCCTTGTATAAGTTTGTGTAAAATAATAAAATCTAAGTACTCGTTGCTGCTAGCACACTACACATTGTTAAGCAGTGGCAGAGGTTGATAGGTTCATCATTAGTTAAACGGTAAATAATATATTATTAATAAATAATAAATAAATATAAAATAATATTATTAATAAATAATAAATAAATATAAAAGAAAAAAGAGATAAAATTATAAATATATATTTAAATATATTAAATAATCATTAAGTTTGGTGAAAATCATAAATTACATTATATTTATAAAAATCACTCCCATTATTATTAAGAACACCTTCATTCTTGTCCGACTAGGCCTCAGAGATTTAAATAGTTTTTTTAAGGAATGGTCTACCTACGCATTTAATAATGACTTAGAAAGAACGAGATTAGCTATTTAGGGTTTGCGTATTGATTCGAGCAATGTTATACCTAACATGTTACGTATTCCAATTACAAAATACATTTACAAAACTGAAACTTAAAAAGAATAGATAAGAATATGTCAACTCGAAATAAATGACTTTCATTTCACTAGTTATAATTTTTCTCTTTTAAAGAAAATAGCTATTTTAATTAGATCGTCAAAATACACTTTGTCTAATAAATATTTTTAAAATATTCAAAAAATTAGATCACCGTAAACAAACAAAAAAATTATAATTTAAATTAAATTAGATTTCTTTTGCTATTTAGGGTATGATTAACTCATCGACTTATGTATCAACCTATTTTTTTAATAAAAATAAAAATAATATTATTTTATTAAAAAATATATATGTATTATAAATTAATTTGATCTAAATTCACTTGTTTTAAGAATGAATATTAAAATAAATCTCTAATAATAATTTATTAAGATTAATTATTATTTTAAATTAATAATAAATTAGAAATAAATAATAATAATAATAAAGAGTAAGTTTTCAATTTTCATTGAGATTGAATGGATACCTTATTTTATAATTTATATATTAAATCATTATATTTTAAATAAAACTAATTTCATTAATAAAAATTAAATTTTCAAAATATATTTTTATTTTTAATTAATTGATTTTGTATAGATATATCAATATTTGAAAAAAAAATTAATTATGCTAAAATTGACTCGTTGGCCTAACATAGGGTCAAGTTAAACTAAAAAATTTTGCCTGTTATAAATATAGGTCGGGACTATCAAAATTTTTTACTTGGTCCATACGACTAGGCTAGATTAAGCTAGACCATCCATTTTGACCGCTCTAATGTTAGTTAAAATTTACATATTTTTTTATCAATTTTTTCATATTTAATTGACATAAAATAGTATTTTTAATTATTATCAATTTGAAAATATTATGTAATTATAATTAATATTAAAATACTCAATTAATTTTATTTTTTCACAAATGTTCACAATTTTATATTTTTAAATTTATTATGAGAATTCAATATAAGGAAGTTAGGAGTAGAATTTACTAATTTAGTAGGTTAGAGTTTGCAGTTTTATAATTTAAGTTAAAGAGTTATAAATAAAAAATCTTAACTATTTAAATTATATTTTCACATAATCAACATCTTTTCTATAATTCACTTTCTTTATCATCTCTTTAACCTTTTCATATTCTCCATCATTTTTTCTTTAGAACCAAGTACATTTTAGTGTTCATCATCTTTTTTTTAAAACTAAGTACACTTTAGTGCTCCTAGTGTGGAGGAGAATATTTTTAACAAATCAAAATTTTCAATAAAATAAGTTTCTCTTTATCCATTTTTAAAGCATTTTACATGAAATTTTGAGGAGCTTGCATGTGAGACCTAGGATATATGTATGTGAATTTTGTTAAGTAAATATGAATCTTAACTAGTGTAAATATTTATGATATGCTCAATTTGTTAATTAAAGTTTTTTGTGTGTAAGATCTTACTTCTTGTAAGTCTATAAGCTTTTGGAATAAGAGACTATTAAATCAAGATAAAGAAAACTAATACTGAATTCCTTAATACACTATAATAGATGATATGGATTGTAATTGTAACTTTGTCACGTTGTTTTATTTGCATAGATATGATTGTGAATTTAAATATTGGTAATGTGTCTCAATTTACGATTGAATGAATTGATTTAAAGTAATTATATATAAAAGGATATGTTTGATATTTTAAGATAGGATAATTATATCAGAATTAGATATGACATGTTTTAGAAAGAAATTATGACAAAATCTCAAAAGATTGTTTAGAACTTGAAAAATGGTTTGAGATGTATTTTGTATGTCTAATACTTGCATATTTTTGCTCAAGCGGCATGTTGTTGTTCAAGCGAAATGTGCAATAGAGCAAGAACTTTTCTTTAGAATATTTTTGCTCAAGCAAAATATTTCATTCAAGAACAAAATTTCTAGTGAAATGAGACTTGTTTCTAATATATTTTCCTTCAAGCGAAATGAGGGTTTTGCTCAAACGAGAAAATTATAGCTTATTTTGAAACATTGTCACCCAGTAGCAGACCTTCTTGAAAACTGAGGTGGACGTGCCCCTCAAAGTTTTATAACTTCGATGTAATTTATGATTTTGACACCCTAAACTTAAATGATCATTTAATATATTTACTTGTACATTTACAATTTTATCCTCTCATCCTTTCATTTTCTTTCACCTTTTTATATTTATTTATTATTTATTAATAATATATTATTTGACATCCTAAAAATCAATGGTCAAGGTCTGCCACTCGATTATGCGAGATTTCCTTGAAGTTTGATGTCTTTTCTATTTCAAATTCTAAAAATTATAAGAAATAACTCCAAAATCCAAATTAAATATTTCATATATATAAATTCAAACCTTAAAAATAAGAAATTTAATGAAACAAAAAATATCTACAGAAAAAAATTTGACCAGTAAGAGTTGGAATATATCAAATTAGAAAAATATATATTTTTTGTATTGTGAGAAATTGCATATATATAACTTAAGATATTAGAATACATGTCATAGACATAGAAGGATATGTGTTGAATGTTATTATACTAGCATTATTATTCGTGCAACACATGAGATTATATTATATATTTAATAAATTAATACAATAACATAAAAAAAATAATAAAGATATAAATTATGATAAATGAAAAGATAATACATTGAAAATTTACGTGTAAGTTTATAAGCTCAATTTACATTTAATGGAGTGGAACTTGTATCTCGTTGTATTCTTCCAAAACCTGTATTTGATTAAAATGAAAATTAGTAATGAAATTTAGTAAAGGAATATATAAGAAATAGTATATCAATATTACTTGATACAAAGAATTCAATATGCTATAAAAATTCTTTTAAAGATTTTCAAAGATTTATTTATACGTTACATTCTATTCTTTGTTGATATATATATATATATATATATATATATATATATATATATATATATATATATATATATATTTCTTTTTTCATCCATTATTAGAATTTTTAATTTCATTTTGGTTGTTACTCTGGACACAATCATGAATAATTGACCATGTGTAAATATAGGACATGAAAGATAAAATTCTACTTTATTCAATGATTGTCCTAGACTTTGATTTATTGTCATTACAAAACATAACATAATAAAAAGAAAAAAATTGTCATCTCTAAAACTTAAAGAGAAATCCTAGATTTCAAGAAATTAAATTCATTCTTAATATAAGTATTTTAGTACGAGAATAAATTGTTATAATGTAAAAAATACCTAAGGTATCTTCATATATATGTTATGTGAATGATATATTGATATAAAGTTAATATGATAGTTTTAAGGGAGGAAATACAATAGTGAAATTTAGATGATGTATTGAATGTAAGATATCCTAACTAGACTTTAGGGTTTAAAAATCAACAACAAGGTAAAATGAGATTTATTTTAATTATGAGATGTAGACAAAAAAATTAGAGGATGCAGGAAGAAACATCCTAATCCAAACAAGGTAAAATGAGAATTAACGGGCCGTAGCCCAAACATTTAGCGGGCCGATAATAAGCCTGACCTGATATAGTGAAATTTGAGCTAATCTAATTCTACCCTACTCTTTAAACTAATCTATTTTATTCTATTTATAATAAAATTTGTCCAAGTATATTCTTGTAACTAATCTGACTCTATTATTTGAGATAATAGCTTTTATATATAGCACCTATATTCATTCCCACCTTCAAAATAGGTAAACAATAGACTAAGGAATCAAAACAAAATATGTATTCTTGTGATTTTTTAATGCATTTTCATAAGATTCTCAATAAAAGCTTTCTTCTTTAATTTTATGTGTAATATAGTTAAGACACCGATTAATAACGAGACCCTTAAAATATATTATCCGTTGTTTAAATATCTACGAGAACATAATAAACATGAAATTATTTGTGCACCTTTTGGTATATCGAAAAAGAAATGATTTGATCACATTTTTTCATCAAATATATAGTAATTGATCAATGCCATAAAAATCTTTACACTGACACTACATCAACATATGTATAAATTAAAAAGAACAAGGACTATATATATTAAACATAGTGAAGATATTAACACATGAGTGAAGTGGAAAAGAATGAATCATCATTCTAAGATAAGATATAATATATTTTGGCACCTTTGACACAAAAACAGAGTGGGCCAATGTCGGCTATGAATTTCTCGGAAAGGGTATTAGAAATTGTCTGCAGCCATTCTGATGCAACATTGTAAGAAACGCAATTAACGAACAAAACATGTTTGTCTTGTCTGGTTTAAGGGGCGGGACTGAAATTGGAGAAGTTTACATGTTAGTGAGTGTCATTATCAGGGAATAAACAAAGAGGGGTATTCCAAATTCCAATTGATTTCATGAAAGGATTTAAATTTGCTTAGGATTCAGAATCCAGATAGAAGGGGACTTGTTATTATAAAAACAATGGCAGATGAATTATGATATAAGAGAAGTCGTCGTTTGGCTCTTGTCAGGGTTAGGGCATGCCCTTCCTATATGGCCTCAATCACGGATAGCTGTTAATTACTTTTGTTTTCTTCTTCAATTATTCATTATTATATTTCTGTAAAGTATGAGCTAACTCACAAGTCAAGTTTTTAATTCTTTGTTTTATCTTGTAGGATTGTTCTTTCATGTTTTTTCTGGCTTTGGGATATTCCTTTTTACTTTACAGACCCAAATTATTCATACTATGAACTTTCTTCTAAATAATTATTACTAATTGCTTATAGTTTATTAACCATGCTTTTTTAGATGTCTTTTATTCTTTATCTCTTTGGCATGCTTCAATTAAATTTATATGTTGCCATTCAACTTGAAAAAGTTCAGTTACGAATGGTTTTAGAAATTATGTGTATGTGCGTGTCATCAGTTAATTAGAACTAAGCCAAAGGTGAATTTAATTCTATCTTCTTTCTAGAATCACTACAACAACTTTCGTGCAACCTTTTTTTTTTCGTATAGATCATTATTATCTTCCATAACAACGAATTCTGAACACATGCATTAACGACTATATTTAAGATTCAAACTCAGATAAAGCAAAGTATCCTTAGACTAAATAGCACTGTGTTAAAGGAATTGGATAAGTAAGTGGAGCCTAAGTTTGAAATGGTTGACAAAAAGCATTAGCTATCGAGTTTCTCATATATGTCAACCAATTCTAACAAATCATGACCATTACTTACCAGACAATATCCATAGTCAACAAAAATTCATCTAGAAAAGTGTTACAACTGTAAACAACTACTTATATATGCACACGTGGTCAGCCAAGACAAATATGAGCTACTACATGACGATGACTGCTTTGAACTTTTGAGCAAACAAGTAAAAAATGGTAACGGTTGGTCCATTTTGTGTTGGATATATGTGATGACCAATCATGTGAAGCTAAATCATCTATTTGTTTCATTTTTTCTTTGTTTTTCACACTTGCTTAGAAGATTATGATCAATAGGCACAATATGTGAAAGTCATCTGAAATGGGAGGTCCACAAGGTTTTGCGTGAGGATCAATGTAATGATCAAAACAAATAACTTTTTTGAATTTTTGGGGAAAAATGAACAAAGGGTTTTCTTATATGTATGATTTCTCCCTTTTTAAAATAACTTTTGAAATTGCGTCATAAGAACTCAAAAACATTAATATTAAAATAATATGATAGAACCAGATAATGAACCCTATTCTTAAATGTTATCTTTATTTTTTTGTTTGTTTAAGTTCTCTGATCGATAACAAAATACGTTTAGTATTGCAGAAATTAATCAATTCGTATCAATGATGAAAACTAACTCGTAGAAGCTCCATGTATATCATTGTCACATAACAATGATATCTTCGTCTTAATAAAAATACCAGTGGCCACCGCAAAATGCACCTGGTTTGTAGAACATGTAATTAATCAAATGGCATTTCTCGAAATTATCGCAAATGTAAATCTAGCTCTGACCGGTTGAGCATAGCGAGCTACTCGAATCCAATGTGGAGTATAGACTATTAATATACTTGCATTTCGATCTTGCAAACTGCCATTACTGGACGAATCTTCTTCAACTTTCAGCATTCTAGTACATACAATGTCACTTGTTACTAGAAATATCAAATATTGAATCTTATATGTTTTCGTATTAAATTAATAATACTTCATAAGAAATCTTGACTGACTATGTATCACTTTTCGACTAATCACAAAACTGCGTGTTGTTACATGTAAAATAGGCTAATGAAGTTTTTCTCTGTTCATGCGAAAGCTATAGCAATGTTAGATATTGCTGCTAAAGAGGAATTCATGGCCAAGAAAGTATTACAGTGATAAAAGAAGGGTGACAATAGGTAGGTTAAGTTCTCTACACAAAACCAATTATTTGTTCAGTCACACTAAGCTTCGACTTACAGCAACAGCTTCAGACTACTCTCACCTAGTGGCCTATGCTTTATCAAACTCGCGATTTAACCCGTAAAATTCCACGACAGCGTGTCGAATTGACTCGCGACCAAACTTGTTTTTTTGGTGAACTCGGTGGGTGGGATCGGTAGTAATCTCGCCTGGACTCGGGTAAAATCGCGAGCTCAGCACGAGTCAGCGAGTGAACCTGCTTGGCTTTTTTTAAAATCAAAACAACGCTACCTAAGTCAATTTTGGGTTGTGATTGTACGGAAAAAAGGGCATTCTGAAAAGCAATCCCTCTCATCGACGTTGGATCCCGTCTTCTTCCTCTTATGCTTGGACCTTCAACCTTGTCTTCTCAACCCCGTCGCGCGATTTCCTTGCTGACCATGACTTTAGTATCTTCAAGTTGGAGGTTTGAAGGTTGACTCATTTCCTTCCCCATTTTTTTCATTTCCTTCCTTCTCTCTGCACTGTTTTAAGTTCTGCATTTTGTTGAACGTGTTAGCTTTATCCCGTCCCTTTAATCTCCACGTTTATGTTTATCAGTTGAAACAATTTTGATGTTCCTTACTCGTTGTTGGAGTTTGTTTTCGTTCATGATACGCGAAATACCATATTTTTAAACTTCTTATTAATTTTTTTTTTCTATCTCTCTTAAGATATTATAATAATTATATAGGAAAATGATAATTTGATAACCCAAATCAATACAACTCCGTTAAACAACTCTATTTTAATATTATAATAATAATTTTATTTTATTTTTATTTTTATTAAATCAGTTTATAGATTATTATATTAATAAAAGTGAGTTGTTTGAAGAGTTAGTATCGTTTCTGGTTCTCGTAATATCACTATTCAATTATATAAAACTTATCTTTTTAATCTGACCTTTTTCGTGTCATTTACTATTATCCTTGTATATTTTTTCTTTTCAAAATTTTAGTTTGGCAACCTTGCATAGAAGACTACACCAATAACATAGATAATAGAGAAATATATGTAAGTTACTCATCGATGGGAACATATATAATGCTAAACAGAAATGATTTGACCAAAAAGAACCATCTTGCATTCAAGAGTCGCATATATATCTTCTTCACCTAACATGTTATTAAGCGATGACTGGCACTGTCCCTAGTGCTCCCTCCAACGACTACCCAGAACTTAATTTTATCTTCTGCAGGCATGCCTGTGAATAAACAAATAAAAGTGTGAACTAAAAAGGAAATGATTCCTTTGTTATTGTCAGCTTAAGAATGTGAACTAATTTGTATTCTTGAACTTAGGTCCAGAGCTGCAAAATGTTTGATTAGAGCATAAAAGGATATATTTAAACGACTCGCAAAATTACAAACAAATCAGATAAACTGCAGTGCCACTAATGGATCTGCACAAGAGAAAGTCTGAGAGAGCAGACATATATATAAATCCAGCTGATTTTATTATCTACATGGGAATTAATACTAGCTTCCCTTTTGCTAGCTTCAATTGGCTACATATAATTCCAACTTCCACTAATAGAAATAACAAATAATGTACACGATATTATGCTATTGCGTCCCTGGGTAGCTCAACTCTTGAAAAGCACATTCTCGTGGCATCTCTTGTCTCACACCCTCGAAATTCGAAGCAACAAGTGGAGGATACATCAGAGAACTGGTCTCACCCCAATTAGTACTTTGCCCACAACTTGGAGAAGCACAAGCACCCATTATCTTATCGGTAATCATTTCTTCTTCGTAGAAGAACTCCGACCCTCCTAATAACCTTTGAGAATAATCATTAGTAGAAACCATTTCCCCAATAGCTGCGGAAGTGAAACTCACTTGTTCTTGCACCAACTCGCCACAGTACTCATTACTCTGACCAAATTGTACTTGGTTGTTGCCAAAAGAGTTTATGCACCCAAAAGAGCCAACATGGCCTTGCTCCTCTTGAATTTGTTGTGTTGATGAGAGAGAACCATTTGGAAACTGAAGATTCAACCCATCAAGGATGGGTTGGTAATCATCGGAGAATCTCCCTCCAAGCTTGAGTAGAAGTTTTCTAATAGAGTCTTGGTCGTTGAAACTTGGAGTTTGGGTTGTCAACGATGAAAGTGGCGGCGCTGGAATCTGTGGCCAACACGGCTGTTGTTGAACACTGTTTTCCTGAAGCAAGAGTGATGAATTGTTCTCCTGCTTAACGACACCGTTTCCTTTGTTACGTGCCTGCAGTTCCTTACGGTGCTTCCCTAGAAGCTTCTTCTTCAGCCTCGTGTTCCAGTAGTTCTTTATGTCATTATCAGTTCTTCCTGGCAATTGTGCTGCAATCACCGACCACCTGCGTTACATGATCCAAACGGTTCATTAATCATTCAAGCAAAAATCAAACTCTCATGTACCACTTTATTTCGGAAAAATAATATTGTTAAAGAAAATTCAGAGATAGTTTATATTTTTCACACATGTATCCTCTTTCAGAAACAATCTTAGCCCGAACTTCAAGACATAGTCAACCTTAAAAACTTTTGACACCTCTTTATAGATATTTTTTGTGGGATATAACTTGATAGTTCATACTGTGTCGTGAACCGAATCACACTTTTTCTGAGTTCGATACTTAGATTATATTGTAAAACCTACCTGCTTCCAATGCTAACGTAGAGGCTGCAAATGATGTTATCTTCTTCTTCAGAGAAACCGCCGTGCTTGATGTTAGGGCGGAGGTAGTTTAGCCACCTGAGACGGCAACTCTTGCCACATCGTTTAAGGCCTGACTCAGACAAGAAGAAACAAAGAGGAGTCCATAGAGAAGTTAACTTGTTCACTGAATGAGTAGCTAGGTCAAAAAAAATAGGGTTATTCGAGTATAGTGTGTAGTATGTGTACAATACCAATCTTCTGAGGCAACGCGATCCAGTTCCCTCCGGTTCCGTGCTGTTCGATGTAGGATTTGAGTTTTGCATCTTCTTCTGGCGACCAAGGACCTTTCTTCACGTTTGCTTTGTCACAGCAAGGTGCTCTCCCCATGGTGGTGTTGTTGGTCTCAGAAATCTCTGATTGATTATTGGGACAACCCTTTCTGTATTTAGGGTCTGAATAATTGAGAGAGAGAGAGAGAATGAAAGATATTTAATAATAAAACTAGGAGCGGATAAACATGATTCCAATTGAACATCCAATCGTACAAATTTTATATAAGGGTATGGCAGAAAAGAAAGATGTTAATATAGAAAATTCCAGCTATTTAGAATTGAAAGAATAGGAGAATAAGGGTCGTTCTTCTTGTCTTTCTTAAACCGGAATCAAATTTTCTTCCACTTTTTATAGTCCACTCCGCTCTCACCCTCATTGTCCAACGATATACTACCATACGACATGCCTATAACTCTTACTTTTGCTCATTATTTTCCTGTTTCTATACAAAATTAATTGGTACGTACCTTGCACTCCTTCAACCTTAGTTTATGGCATTATTAATTGGAACATTATGTTAACACTACTACAAAATATACTTTCAACGTCGCCATTTAACGTCGGTTAAAGCTGAGCCGACGTTAAATACACTTTCAACGTCGGTTGGTTAAAAAACGACGTTGAAAGTGGAATGTTGGACACATTCTACATCGGTTCTTAGTCAACCGACGTAGAAAGCACTTTCCACGTCGGCTCCCGTGATGAACCGACGTTGAATGTGTTTTCACCCAAAAATTCTCTTAATTTCAAGAATTGTCACTAACAGATTCGAACCCGCATTTTTGAGTTGAAAATTGATACTCCAACCACTAAACTACCGTAATTTTCTCGATAATAACTTACAAATTAATTATATTTATATACAAATAAATATATATCTCGTGTAAATATATATTTATTTATATATATTTTCTAGAAAGTGTTTTTATTTTTTTTCAGCCAAAAATTTACTTAAGTTCGAGAATTATCACTGACAGGATTCGAACCCAATATTTTAGAGTTAAAAGTTGATACTCCAACCACTAAACTACTCGTAATTTTCTCGATAATAACTTACAAATTAATTATATTTATATATAAATAAATATATATCCGTGTAAATATATATATTTTCCGGAAAGTGTTTTTATTTTTTTTCAGCCAAAAATTTACTTAAGTTAGAGAATTGTCACTAACAGGATTTTTTGAACCCAAGTATTTTAGAGTTGAAAATTGGCACTTCAACCACTAAACTACTATAATTTTTTTATAATAATTTACAAATAAATTATATTTATATACATATAAATATATATTCGTGCAAATATATAAATATAGAATATATAAATACAAATATATTTATATATTTTGATATATTTATATAGTTATATAGTTATATATTTATATGTTGGATGTGAAGGCGCGTTCGAGGGTGAAAGTGAGATTGACTCTCGCTTGAGTGAAAATACGTTAAAACTCACTGAAATTCACTCATTCAAGCCTCGCTTGAGCGAAAATTGGTATTTTTCGCTTGAGCGAATGATGCGTTTCTCATATTTATTTTATATCATTAATAAATTATAAATATTATATTCTCGTCATTAAATTACAAACTCATATAAAGAGACTCGCTCACAAATTTGACATCAAATTTTGAAAACTCACTCGACACACTTTCACCTTCGAACATGCCCTCACATCCAACATATAAATATATAATTATATAAATATATCAAAATATATAAATATATTTGTATTTATATATTTATATATTTACACTGGATATATATTTATTTGTATATAAATATAATTTATTTGTAAGTTATTATCAAAAAATTCGAGTAGTTTAGTGGTTGGAGTATCGCCTCCAACACTAAGGTACTGGTTCAATCTGTCAGTGACAAAAAATTAATTTGGTAATGCTCTAAACTTTAAAAAAGATGATAAATAATAAAAATATAATATAAAAGAGAGGGGATTTCTAGATAAATAGAGAGAGGGGAGAGGGGTTGGAAATAAATAAAAATTTTCAATTTGAAAGTCAGGACTTTCAACGTTGAAAGCCTTCCAGAACCGATTTCTAGATAAATAGAGAGAGGGGAGAGGGGTTGGAAATAAATAAAAATTTTCAATTTGAAAGTCGGGACTTTCAACGTTGAAAGCCTTCCGAACCGATTTCTAGATAAATAGAGAGAGGGGAGAGGGGTTGGAAATAAATAAAAATTTTCAATTTGAAAGTCAGGACTTTCAACGTTGAAAGCCTTCCAGAACCGACGTGGAAAGCCTTATTTGTAGTAGTGTAATATGCTGCTACTTTTTTATTTGGACAGGGAGCATATAGTATGTCTATATATTGATTTTGAAAATTTGGGTGATGACTTGATTATGATTTGAGGGTTGGTCTCATGTTAGATTATATATAGAATTTAATTGAAACATAGTTAATGTATTTTAGATATTTTTCCAATGTTTGATTTTTATTGAAAAGTTTAAAATTGATTGGGTTGAAGTAATTTTATTATAAGACAATTCTTCTGAGATGGACCAAAAACTTGATCGTGAGTTATATTAGAGTTAACTTGTTTGTATATATTACTTCAAAATCATTTTTAATCAAGATTAATTTTGTAAAATCAGTTTCATTGGAAATTAATGTTGCTCAAGACTAATTCAAATACACACTAAATTTATCTACTATCACATTTTAAAAAATTTGTTCTCATCATGGAAAAAAAAATGTATATAATAACCTCGTTCAACTATTTTGATGGTAAAGTTGTAGCATTAAAAGACAATGAATTAAGATTTTAATCTATATGTATCTATCCATCAAGTTCAGTTTTCCCCTGGAAGCATTCAAAATTTTATTGTTTATTATATTCACTACTTTCTTCAATTTTCTAACAGAAGAATAGAAGAAAAAGATTTGAAACTTCTAAAAAATTAACAATTCAAACACTTTGTGCATGTGTGTTTTTCATCCACATTAACAGTTAGTTAATGTTACCGCACATGCCTGCTTTTTTTTGGGGTGAAATCAGGGTACCCTTTCCAATGGGGGCCACGGATTATCTTACAAGATTCTAATATTTATTTAAGAAATTATATCTCTCAATAAATATTTTATGAATGTGAGATTGAATATTTAATTATATTCTTAAGACACAAAGTTATCTATTAAATTAACGCACATGCCTTGCACTTAACTCTTTGTAAAAATAAACACTTAAAAGATGAAAAATACTCTTTATGTTGTATTTGAAAAAAAAAAAAAAAAAAAAACTGTCTTTAAGCTGCAGGAGAAGGTATTGATTTTGGAGGGTGAAATTATTAGATAGTAATTAATATAGTTAGGATTGTAATTAATTTCTTTATGATATACAATTTATTTTTCATTTATATCACATTAATAAAACCTAATTATATCATGTAAAATTTAATCAAAGATCATATTGTAGTTTTTTTTTTTAATTATTTTTTTCCTTGTATTATTTAATAGTTACAGATTCTGTAATAAAAAAAATCTTATTTTAAATATAATTATATAATAAAATGTTATGTGCACAACAAGTATATTAGCTAAATAGTATACTAAATGTAAATAATAAATTCAGTCGAAGTAAAGTATATTATATATTCTTACTTTGAAACATGAGAATGAAAATTAATTATAAATATTTCTAGTGGAATTTTTATTTAGAAAATTAGTGAGACTAATTTCTATAAAAATTAAATATTTAGAATAAATAAGAGAAACTTAAATTATTATAAATGAATTTTCATTAGTGTATAATATAGATTTGACAAGATACAACATCTATTATTAATTACCTTATGTAAAAAATAAAATAATAAAAAATTATAATAAATAAGAAATTTTATATTAATTGCCATGCAGAATAGAAATATATATAATATATATATCTATTTATGCAGGAATTGATGTAAAAATAAAAATTTAATTAATATTTCAGCAAAGATTTTGTTATGATTATCTGAGTACATACTTTATTGTTATAGATTTAACTTTATGTGAAGATTTAATTTTATCTTTTTCACATGTATTTAAATTAAGGTGAAATAAGTCAAAACATGGTTTATTTTTTATGAAATAAACATTATAAGATTTTTTTTTAGTTTTGTTTGAATTGAAGGGTGGATTTGAGGGAATAGAAGAAAAAAATTGTTTGGATTAAAAGAAAAAAAATAAAAAACTTATAGAAAATAAGATTAATTAAAAAACATATTTTAAAAAATTATAACATGATAGATTATATTAAAAAATATAGTCGGTCATATGATAAAATAATAATTTTTTTTCTTTCTGTGCAATTTATTTATGAGAGAGGGTGAAAATAAATTTAAAAAAAAAAGAAGTAAAAGTGAAGAATTTATTACACCTTGAAATTATAACTTTCCATGCATTTTGTTCGCTCCTCTAAATCAGTTCCTACAAGCAAACAAGCTGTGAAGGAACAGTTGACACCTCCTTCATGGGAAACTAAAAAACAAAGCCTATTAATTCTTCTCTTCAAAATTATTTCAAGAAAATAGAAAAAATTCTATGTATATACAGGCAAGTTCATCTTTCTAATATAAAAAATGACGAAGAAGGAGTTGTCAGAAGACCATAGATAACAACAAAATATAATTTAGTCAACGAGTGTAAGAATCTGAGAGAGAGATTGGGAAAGAGAATTTGGATGATCAAACATAAGAAAAAAATTTCATTGAAGAACTATGAAACAGGTAGAGTTATAACATATCACATCTAATTCACTAGATTTTGTAAAAAAAAGGAAAAATCACTTATTAGTTGTTTGTATCTGCTAAGAAACTTTGGATTCACATATATGCACCACAGATAATAAATTTTGTAGGGTCTTTAATTCACTAAACTCCACCCAAATGAGAAAATGAAAACCAAGGTGTTGAAAATTTTCATCAACTATCAAATCGATGTGTATTTTATAATTGAAAGGTTGTAGAGTTTCTAGAAGAAAGAAATAAGGCATTAGCAGCATTGAAAAAATATGGGAAAATTGTAGGGTTTTGTTGCTTTTGGTTTGGTTGGT